GACTGTCTGTATGATTAACGGAGTACCGTGTCCCTTAATTTGTGAAAACTGAAAAGGCATACATCACTAACTTGTATACTATGTTTTATTTGATGCTCCATGCCATATCTTTCCTACAAAAAATTATGGGAATTGAAGTTGGGAAAGTGTATTGAGTCTTTATTACGGATTCATAGACTCAACACAAAACTTTAATTCCAAATGTTCTCAGGGAAGAGGGAAGGGTGTTAAGCTAGTTCAACAGTACAATTCTATACAAGTTTACTTAGAAATAAGCCCCACTGAGTTCAATGAGGCTTGCTTCCAAGCCAATGTGCATGGGTCTGTAGCCTAAGTCTATAATGTGGATATGCTTAGGCAATAAAATGATAGGAGCACAGGGTATATATGTGCCACACACATGTATGCTTTTGGTTTGTGGTGAACTGCTGAACTAAATCACCATTATGCAAAGAAAGCATCAACAGACGGTGAAGGAGTAATTTGCCATGGAGAAAAGAAAATCTAGATGCCTTACACCTTCATCAGTTTCCAAGTAAATGCTAGTGTTTATCATATGAAAGAATACAGTCCTCTTAGCGCTGACACATTATCCTGTGAATGTCAATGTCCCCAACTGTGCTAAATAATTATAATGTTTGGGGATTAGGGCAGAAGTAGAGTCTCCATGTAGAAGCAAAAGAACAAGCCACCTATATATTTTCCTGTTGTTTCTTTTCCTCTTGGTAACCCTAATGTGTGTATGGCTTAACTCCCCAGGTAACAAGATCCAAGCGACAAGTCCTCCCATTGAAACCTGCAGTGCTGTTGCAAAAGCAAAGCAAATTCAGTTCGCTGCCTACATCAATATCTCCTTGAGAGTTTATTGACCACAAAATTGTTGGCAATGTACATTTTGTAAACCATTTGTTTGTAGGCATGTTTCACAGGGCCTTTGTTCTGTGGTGTTTCATTGCAGGACTTGGAAACAGCTTTGTTTGGCTTGAAGCTCCTTTGCCTCCTCCAGTGTCATGTCATCCAAAGTTTAGATTGGCCAGGATCCAAAGGGCTGCTTAGGCTCGCACTTCAAAATTGTAAATGCTTCCCTCCCTCTCTTTGAGCAGCTGGCGCCCAAACTGCTTTCAAAAGTGCTCATCTGTTTCAAAAACAGCTAGCCATGTGGCTTGAAGGCTAGTGTCAAGAGAAACACTAGCCCTTTGGGCTCAAGGGGAAAGTTTCAAGAGACTTGTCTCCTGCTGCCTCCTGGCTAAGTCCTAAACCACTATCCACTGGAAGGATAAACTTACCTCAAAATGAAAACACAAATATTGTTCATAAAGCTGTGTAGATTGTACCTGAGGTGGCTTAAGCTGGGGCTTAAAAATATATTTTTTTTCTTGGAGCCAGCTGAAGTGGTATAGATGCCAGTACAGCAGAGAAGTTTGTAACCACTTGAGGAATTCATAGCATATGTTCCATTTAAGCGCAGGATTCAATCACTTCCCCAGTAACAGCCACATTTCTGAGGTTGTTTGCAATACACTACACATCTTTGTTATTTCAGAAATGGCCCTAATCCAGATATGCCTCTTGGCTGAGAAATTTATAAATGGAGTTTTGAGTTCCATGGAACACTAGTGGGCTAAGATATACTTACTTTGTGTGTGTAAAATGAAAGGCACGCTTCATTCATATGCATCAGAAGGCTCACATTTAGAACATGTAAGAGTACGACTGAATAGCTAGATGTGATGTTAAATTGTAAATTTGCATTTAAAGTTTAAGAATAAGAATAATAATTTTATTATTTGTGCCCTGCACATCTGATTGGGTTGCGCCAGCCACTCTGGGCAGCTTCCAGAATATTTACTTTTAAAAAATGCAAATAGAATTGGTGTCCATGAGGGATTTTCTCGCAATGCGCACAGCACTTTCAGAGAAAGGAATTTTATCAGAAACACAGAAGGGGAGGAAAGGGCAAATTCCCCCCACCCACATGCCTAATAATAATCAGCCCCCAACACAGCATGTGCTATTTGTATTTTAACAAATGTACCTGTTAAATGCAGAAATACATTTAATGTCATGTCTAGGTTAGCTCATCAAAGCTGGCTGCTGTTATTTCTAGACCTACCTCCTGAGCAAAAGGAAGCAAGCCTAGAGTGAGTAATGACTCAGAAAGAGATGCAACAGGCAGCCTCCTCTGAGGGTGAGTAATTTTGCTCCATCTGCTCAGAAGTGTCTATGTCAACCAATTACACTAGATGCAAGAGATCTACCATTCCAGCAGTGGGAGGAGCCCTGGCCAAAATGGTAGAAAAAACACAGATGCCTTTTCCAGGGATTATTACTGTTGTATACTCATCAAAGCCACATGGCACACATGCTGTTTTCTCATACAAGCATGTCCTGACACATCATTTGGAATTTGCTGAACCATATGGAACAAGTACTGCCAGATCCTTGAGAGGGACAATAAATCACTCCGCTGTTATTCTCTGTTGCCAGTGCCAGTTGCACTCTGGCCGAGGACATGGTTCCATGATGTTCCCTGATCTGCTGTGGTCAGACCTCACCTGGAGTACTGTGTCCAGTTCTGGGCACCACAGTTCAAGAAGGACACTGACAAACTGGAACGTGTCCAGAGGAGGGCAACCAAAATGGTCAAAGGCCTGGAAACGATGCCTTATGAGGAACGGCTAAGGGAGCTGGGCATGTTTAGCCTGGAGAAGAGGAGGTTAAGGGGTGATATGATAGCCATGTTCAAATATATAAAAGGATGTCATATAGAGGAGGGAGAAAGGTTGTTTTCTGCTGCTCCAGAGAAGTGGACACGGAGCAATGGATCCAAACTACAAGAAAGAAGATTCCACCTAAACATTAGGAAGAACTTCCTGACAGTAAGAGCTGTTCGACAGTGGAATTTGCTGCCAAGGAGTGTGGTGGAGTCTCCTTCTTTGGAGGTCTTTAAGCAGAGGCTTGACAACCATATGTCAGGAGTGCTCTGATGGTGTTTCCTGCTTGGCAGGGGGTTGGACTCGATGGCCCTTGTGGTCTATTCCAACTCTATGATTCTATGTATTTTGAGACCTCTCATCAGGTGCTCACACTTCATGTGCTTGTGGTGGGAAACACTCATGTGCCAGGGAAAAATATGATTGCTACTTAAGGGCATACATACATTATGAGTGCCAGTTTCCTCAGATACATACACAAGAGCATTGGTGCTTAAAGATGTGCAAGCTTATGTAGGTTGTGCCCTCACGCTGAGTAAAGTTTGGTGTGAAGAAACAGAAGTGTTTCCAATAGCTATTGTAATGCATGGAGCTGTCCTGTGGAGTCTCTCTTAGTGGATCTTCAATGTTGCTGTTTCTTTTAACTTGCTCTTTCTCTAAGGAGCTGAGAGTGGCAGACAAGGTCACCCCCTCACTCTTTTATCCCCACAACAACCTGTAGGGCAGATTAAGGAGCAAAATTAAAGGAACTAGCTGCAGGCATGCTTCATGTCTGAGTTGGGCTTTGAACTCCTTAGTGCACCACATCTGAAAACTACACTGCTTTCAGATGTTAGTTAGGACTATTGGCAAGGAAGCCAATGTGGTACCCTGCAGAAGTTGAGGATTACAGCTCCCATCATCCATGAACATTATCTATGCTGGCTGGGTTCATGGGCGTTGCAGCCCACTATCAATTCTTCAGGCTACAATTTCCCACTGAAGCTTCCTGGGGGCACTGCCACATACCCTGCTTATTGAGCATTCACCCTGGTTTGTTTGTGGGGAGACTGAACAACATTGCATCAAGTGCTCTCTCACACTTTACAGTGCATCTCTCCCCCCCAAAAAAATCACTTTCTTTAATGCAAAAATCCAACCTTTCAACGTTTGTTTGTTTGTTTGTTTTGCAAGAGCTCCAAATCAGCATTAATAGTGCACCCCCAAATTGCTGGTGTGTGATTGAAACCCACCTGAAAACCATGATAATCTGGACACAGCCTGGGTGGTTTTGGACTACTCACACTCTTTCAACCTTACACCCATTTTCTGCTCATGTGAGTCCTGTAAGGTAGGGTAACTCTCCTCCCACCCCCAGGAAGGACAGGACATATAAGTTCATTGTTAGGATCATTATTGGGAACACAGAAGGCTGGCTTGTACTGACTCTGACCAACAGCCCAACTACCGTAATTCAATGTTGTATATACATTGACTGACAGCAGACCTGGATTTTAGACAGGTGCCTTTCCCAGCCCTGCCTAGAGAGGCAGGGGGCTGGACCTGGGACTCTGCCTGCCTGCAAAGCTTGGCAAATAGTTATTCCATCTTTATCGCCCCAGGAGCTCATTATTCTCTGTGTCCCCAATCCCGGTCCACTTTTTACACTCACAACAACCCTGTGAGGTAGGTCACTCGGAGATATAGTGACAGGTCCAAGGTCTCCCGGGGAAGTTCAGGGCTGTGGTTGGGGATGTGTCAGTGTGTGTGTGTGGGGGGGGTTAATTTGAACCCCATTTCTCCCCTTAGCCCAGGGGCACGCCAAGTGCAAATAGACGCGCCTCGCTCGGTTTCCCGCGCATATCCGTGTAGGGCACGCGTCACGTGTGAAGGGACCTTAGCCTTCACTGCGAGGTAGCCGAGTCGCAAGAGTGGAGGGTCTGTGACCCTTTCATGGGGGGGGGTTTAACTCCGTGGGTGTGACGTCATGCTGCCCCGCCACCCCTCGGCCCCCCCTCTGGACATTGCCTTACCCGCAGGTGCAAATCTGGCACAGGCACTGAGGCGCCTTCATCCTCCCGTCCTCGGCGGCTCCTTCGCTCTTCTACCTCTTCCTCCTCCTCCTCCTCCTCCTCTGCCGGGTAACTAGGGAAGCGCCCCGTCGCCTAGCAACCCCGCTCGGCGTCCGTGCGCATGCGCCGGCCCGCGCGCGCGCGCGCGCGCGCGCGCGCCTTGGGCGGAGCCTAGGCTCGGTTCTCCCTCCTTCCTTCTCCGCGCCTCTTCCCGCCTTTGCTCCGCCCCCTCGGTCTGCAGCGCCTGCGCACGCGCAGAAAGGAAGAGGCGGACTTCCGGTTGCAACCGGCTCACGCTCCCTTCTTGTCAGTGGCCGGCTGCAGCTCCGTGAGGTGAGTCCCCCCCCCCCCCAGTTCCTAAAAGAGGGATAGGGGAGGCAGCGCGAGTCATACCCCGGTGGCAATGCGGGCTGGGGGAGAGATAGGTGGGCTTTCGAGATCCTTAATCCAAATTTCCATCTTCAGGAAGTATCCTTGATACCTTCCAAGAGTAAATAATAATAATAATAATAATAATAATAATAATAATTTTATTTATACCCCGCCCTCCCCAGCCAAGACCGGGCTCAGGGCGGCTAAATGAGGGGGGACGAGAAGCAGAATTGCCACTGGGAAAGGGAAGCCAGTAACTGGGAAAGGTCCAGTGGCCAAACTCACAGGACCAGCCCACTATCCCTCCAGCTAGCCTTCATCCAGTGCCGGATTTGCGTATAAGCTAAACAAGCTATAGCTTAGGGCCCCACTCTCTTGGGGCCCCCCCCAAAAAAAAATAAAGGGAAAAAAACCCATGGGTGTTTTTTCCAAAATATAAGATAAAAAACAATTAAAACCTACATACAGCAACAGTGTTTTGTGTTGTGTAGGCTCCTGTAATATAAGTAATGGGCCCCGCCTGCTAGCCTGCTCCCTAAAATATCACATATAAAGGGCCCCATTGCCTTCAGTAGCTTAAGGCCTCATCAAACCTAAATCTGGCCCTGCCTACCTCGCAGGGTTGTTGTGGTGAGAAGCAAAGGAGGGTCATTGGGTGGGTGAAAGGGCAACGTGCGCCTCCCTGGAGCTCCTGGGAGAGCTGGGTGGTTGGTGGATGGAATCGGGGAAAGTTGTTGCCATATTCATGTTGATTCACTCACAAATGCCAGGCTGCTCTGCTTTCAACAACAGCTTTATGCTGGGAGTGGTTGTTTCTGTAATTATTACCTTCACTGTCCTTCATTTGCATCTGACATTGCTGCTTAGGATTTAGTTGCTGTTGTAATCTCATAAAGCCACTAAGGTGTGAGGTCCAAAGAGCAGCTCCCGAGCATAGCCAGTGCTTTTTAACTGTTAATTACACTGCAAGTAAAATAAGAAAATTACCAGCCGTGACCTGGCTCAGGATGAAGCTTTTTGTTTGATATGGCTGGGTGGGGGAGGGGGAGGAAGACTATGGATGTGCATTATCATTACTCCTGGGCACTGTTAAAAACTGTAGCTTGGTGAGTTTTCAGGGCTGTGATTTCTTCAGGGCCTTGAATGAGGCAGTAACGTAAGTTTTTGACAACAGTGCAGGGCACTAGTTCCCCATGTACTTGACAGACTGGGGTGTGTTTGGCTCATTAGGGAATACTTATCCTGGCTGCACTGTAGCTATTAACTTTGAGTGCTGGTACAGACGCATTCATGCTGATCTCCTATTAGAACCATCGTTTTTGCATGTGTGTCCTCCTTCAATGGTGGTTTATTGGGGACAGGGGGAGGGTAGAGAAGAGAAGAGCCACAATTCCACCCAGTACTAATCTCTTTCTTCATATTGTCTGGCCGTCTGAATTTAGTCCAATTTAAAGCTTTCATATAACCTTGTAGCTTTCTGACAACTTTGATCTTTCCAATATGGATTTCTTTTCCTTGCAGCGAAACATCCAACCATGGTTCTTGCAAGTTTGAATAAGACGATTGGACTTCAGAAAAATACTGACTTCATTAGGAATATCTGTATACTAGCCCATGTGGACCATGGTAAGAGACACGTTATGAACTGCATATCACACAAATCCCATGACAAATACACCAGCAGTCTGAAACAATTGTGGAAGAACAGATTGTTGCTCTGTAACACAGTTGTGTATTCAATAACTCATCTCTGACAACTTTCTACATGGGTGTGTAAGAAAAGCCCTGTAAAGGGAGGAGACATGTGGTCATGGGAGGATGGATTTAATGTTTAATCTTAAATATAAGGGCTTGTTTTTCATTTTGTGTGTGTGTGTACTACTTTTCATTACCCTTTCTTCCCCCAGGCAAGACAACTTTAGCTGACTGCCTTATTTCTAGCAATGGAATAATCTCTAGCAGATTGGCAGGCAAGGTACAACTTAAACATTTCCAGTATATTATCCAGAATTTTTTCTCTATCCACATTTTCTCACATTTAAGAAAAGTCTCTGAAAAATGTGAATACAGAGTATTTGTTTATTTTTTTACAATTCATATAGCTGAGATACTTGGATAGCCGAGAAGATGAGCAGATTCGAGGAATTACAATGAAATCAAGCGCAATTTCATTACATTTTGGAAAAGGTAATATAGTTAGCACATTCTGTATGTGCATTTAAACTGTTAAGTATATAAATATAGTGCTTAAATAAAGTGTAAAGATTTGGATGGAATCTAAAATACTGATTATTTTTTATTAAGCTACCTGCTGTAAGGCTCAGTTCAGGTGCAGTGTTAAACCATGGTTTAGTGTTATGAGCTTGAGGAGACCTGAGCCTCAGCTTTGGGTGTTTTTCTCCTTGGATGTGGAAGAGAAGAAAACGTAATGTTTCTATTTTTGCTGTTTGGAGCAAACTGCACTTTCCTATTACATCCTAATGTAGGAAACTATGCTTTATTCAAACCAGGATCATGATGGTTATTGAATGTACTCCAGTTGGAACAGAGCATTGTTCCTATATTCAGATGTAATTGGGAGCTGAGATTTGTTCCAGTTCACAAATGGAAGCTTTAATCTTCCTCCCCAGTTTATGAAGAAGGGGAGAGAGAATAGTGCTTTAGCTCAAGGTTCACACCTGCTCATCTTAGTACTAAACCGTGGTTTCATGTTACATGAGAACTGATCCTAAACACACTCTTAAAATACTTGCTTTTAAAGCACTTTTTCCTTTGGTTCTAGATGGTCAGGAGTATCTGATTAACCTAATCGACTCCCCTGGCCATGTGGACTTCTCTTCAGAAGTGTCCACAGCTGTCAGACTCTGTGATGGCTGCATCATTGTGGTAGATGCTGTGGAAGGAGTCTGCCCGCAGGTAATGAGGAAAACCTACTTCAGATAGAGGGGGAAATAAATTAAAATATTCTCATTCAGGCATCCCACTGTTCGACTAGTACATGGAATCATCGGCTAATATTTAGAATGCATTGGTAATTTAAAATGCAGTGTTGCGTGCAAGATGGAGTTCAGAATATGTGGCAAAGGAGAGGGAGGTGAACACAAGAATATATTTTTGTTGGCCATGTAATATTAGTGTACTGGTAGAAATCGACATACTGATGTCTGTATCAATGTGACTTCCAAGAGGAAAATGGTCAGACTCTTTACTTCAGTCAGGATTTGCAAAATGAACCAAACTTGGTTTAATTTTAACCACTGTTGGCGATCCTTGTGCATAATGCTGAAGCAGTATGGGGGAGGAAGCCAGGAGTTTACATGAAGAATGCAGGCTTGGAAGAAAGGTTCATACAACCCAGATTCCTAACCAAGGGTCAGTTACCAGGTCAGAGTTATACAGTCGCTCATATTTTCCTCAGCTGTTTTATGGCACGGTGTCAATATACTTGTTTTCCTTTGCTCTAGACTCATGCAGTTTTGCGGCAGGCTTGGCTAGAAAATATTCGTCCAGTTCTGGTGATTAATAAAATAGACCGTCTCATAATGGAGCTCAAGTTTACCCCTCAGGAAGCATATTCTCACCTTAAGAATATCTTGGAACAGGTATGAGAGTTCTAAATAGCTTGATTATTTGTCATCAGCAATAGTTGTAGAAGGAAAAGGACAGCAAGTAAACTATAGGCATTGTTGGACTACTTCAGCCTTCCCCAAACTTCAGATGGACCACAACTGTCAACAGCACCAGCCAAAACATCTAGAGGGTACCAGGATGGTGTAAGGCTGGATTACTGCAATATGCTCTGAAGGACAGTATTTTCAAAAACTTCAGAAGTTCAAGAATGCAGCTGCCTAGTTATTAAATGGTGTCCGTCACAGACAACATATTCCACCAAACCTGAAGCAGTTCCACTGGCTTATTGTTAGCATTCTGGTCAAATTAATCAGCCAAAATAGTCTGGAACGAGAATACCTTAGGTGTTATGTAAGTAATTTTTAACTAGTGTCCTTAGAGCTAGCTACATCTTGTTTCCTTAAGGGCTACATCTCAGTTTGCTTTTTCTCTCTAGATTGGACCCATGGTATGAGGATTAAAATTTTACTTCTTGTACCACTTTCCACTGAAATTCACTCCATTGCTAAAGAGACAGCGCTGTTCCTTGTTGGTTAAAAATACCTTAACAGTAATGTGCAGCTTGGCTCTTATGGATTATCTTTTCCTATCTGATATTTCCCATGTGCTCTGGGCCATCAGATGAGGCTCTGCTCTTGAGTACCCTGCTAAAACACCCAAGTATGAGGAATATGATCTTCTGAAGGAATATATAGCTCTGGGACTGCTCAGAGGACCAGCTTATTCATGATTTTAGCAAAATGGCAAAAGCAGCTCAGGTTCCAGAGAACCTCTGGGATGATTGTCTGAAATAATAATAATAATAATTTTATATTTATTTATTTATACCCCACCCATTATTTTTTTTTTTGTTTTAATTTTGATAGTGTAACTGCTGTCTGAAATGGTTTTTAATAATTATTGTATTTCTGGTATTTTGGTGGCTGTAAACATTTGTTTTAGGAATTCTGCTTGTAAGCTGCCTTTAAATTCTCTTTAGGGGCAGGAAGGTAGGATATTATGAAAATAAACTGGAATGTCTTTCTAGGTGAATGCAATCACTGCAACACTCTTCACTTCGAAAGTTCTTGAAGAAAGGGCGGAGAAAGAAATGGAAACTCAGTTGACTTCTGATTCTTCACATGGTGACCAAGTTTATGACTGGAGTGCAGGCTTGGAATTTTCTGATGATTCCAATCTTTACTTTTCACCCGATCAGGGGAACGTGGTATTTGCTAGTGCAATTGACGGCTGGGGATTTGGGTGAGTTTATAGATGCTTATTAGTAATTTGATCATATATTTTCATTAGGGTGGATGAAGTTTTCAGTTTTGTCTTTGTATACGTCTTACTGCAGCGCAAACTAAATTTGGGGGGGGGGAGTTTTCAGAGCTTAATCATTTAATAGACAGTAGTAATAATAAATAAATCCACAGGTGAGTGGATGCTTCCATCTAGAGAGTGTTGCACTGAAGATTCCCAGTCTGCTCCCGTTGCAAGAACTACTTCAGTGTGGTCTTTGTAACAGATCAGAATTCATAAGAGGAAGCATTCCTTCAGATGCCTTCTGTCTAGACTGCTTTAAGAGTTCTTAAAAGTTAAAACTTGCACTTTGAGTTGTGGCTAGAAGCATACTGGGGGACACTTATGCGTATTTCAGTGGGGATGCTTGTTTCTACCTTGGGTGCTTAAAATTGCAAATAGGTGTAAACCTTAGACCAAAAAAAGAATAAAACCACAAAAAAAAATCATCTGCTATTCACCATTTAAATGCTTGTTCAGCCTCCTAATAGTCAATTGCATGCTGGTGGGGCAACACATAAATGGGCTTAGGACCCATCTGTCCATGGCATTTTAATGTTGTTAAATCTGATTATTATTTTATTATTATTTCATTTCTATAGCACTTTATATTTTTAAGAAAAATCTCAGCGTGGTTTACAGCATATTAAACCTCAATAAAACAATGCAGAATCAAACATTTCTGAAGAAAGTCAAATATAAAGTACACAGTCAAAGCAACACAATAAACAGGAAACCAAAATACCATCTCAAAGATTTCAAAATAAAACACTGATCAGTGTTAACATTTTTTTGCTGATCGTGTTTTTGTCAAAAAGCACTAAGTGGGGGCCTCTCTGAGGTATGTTTTGAAGCATTCCCAAATATTGTCACATTTGAGAAAATATTGGGACTCGAGAAACCTAGGAACGAAAATTTGGGCCTTCCGTCCAGCTCAGACCAGTGCAAAACTGATTATTTCCATGACGAAATGCAAACTTCTTACTTGGCTATATTTTTCAGGGAAGTAAGCACAGGCAATTTGACAGATTTTATTGTCATTCCCACCATGATACATCTCTGGTTGACAGGGGTCTGATTTTGCACTCTGCACAGGCTCTGTGAGGCCAGCAACCCTGGCTTTACTGCCTCCCATTTGTCTTCATCTTCAAGCTGATTCCTAGTTTACCCAACAATTGTGTTTGTCGCTGCTCAGGCTGCAGAAGCATTTTCCGCAGCAGACATGTAAAGCGGGAAGGGCAGGCACATCTCGACTTGAAAACACAGCTTGAGCTGCAGCCTGTCAGGCTCCCTGTGTGCAACGGTGAGCATTTAATAGCCTTCATCTTCACTTCACACGGTTCTGCTTCAGGAAATGACTTCGTAGCACCAGGATAGCTACAGCCAAGGCAGTTGTAACATTAAATGTTATGCAGCTCCTCCTTATATGCACAGAAGTGGGATATAGATAACCAGAAATTGAAATCTTGTCGCACGTTCTCTTGCTTTTTCACGCTGGGGAAGAGAGGATGAAAGAAGCTTTTGTCTTGCAGGTGTACAGTCATACCTCGGGTTAAATGTGCTTCAGGTTGAGCGTTTCCAGGTTACCCTCTGCGGCGACCCGGAAGTAAAGGAGCGTGTTACTTCCGGGTTTCGCCGCATGTGCAGACGCTCAAAATGACATCATGCGCGGAAGCGGCGAACTGCGACCCACGCTGAAGCTGGTTGCGTTCGCTTCAGGATGCGAACGGGGCTCCAGAACAGATCCCGCTCGCATCCAGAGGTACCACTGAATAGGAAACAGCAGGGTTGATTGAATGGATGTGACCAATAGTGGGTCCAAGGTTCAAGAAGGTGGTTTCTGCATGTGCTGTAGAAGGAAGCGAGGGGCAGGTGGGGCTTGTGAACCTGGGAAGGTAGCCCATCTAGGAGGAGAAAACTCTTGTCCTAAACCTCTGCTGCCAGCATGGTGTAGTGGTTAAGAGTGGTGGACTCATAATCTGGGGAACTGGGTTCCCTTCCCTCTCCTCCACATGCAATTGCTGGGTGACCTTGGGCCAGTCACACTTCTCTGAAGTCTCTCAGCCCCACTCACCTCACAGAGTGTTTGTTGTGGGGGAGGAAGGGAAAGGAGAATGTTAGCCGCTTTGAGACTCCTTCGGGTAGTGATAAAGTGGGATATCAAATCCAAACTCCTCCTCCTCTTCTTCTTCTTGCGGGCTGTCTTTGGGAGAAGAAGAAGCTACGGAGTAAACCCTATACAAATCCGGAAAAAATAAAAGAAAAACTTAGTGATCAACTTAATAGTCCGAACAGAAATGGCATCAAAATTGAGTGCTGATGCTTTGTTCAGAGATGATTTGGTTAAGAGGTTGGCATAAATGCTGATGGTAAAATTACTCATTTAATTTTGATTAGGAACAAATAGCTGGAGTTTATTTGTAGCTTTCTAGAATAAGAGTTTTGACAAAACATAGCTGATGGCATACTATTGTGCTGATACTCTTTTTAAAAAACCCAATTGTTGCACCGCTTTTCAAGAAAACATTCTTCCCAAGCTACATGTCAAACATACAGTAGAATGCAATTTAAAATCTTATAAAACAACATAAAATTTCTAAAACAGTACCCAACAACTGGTAGCTAAAAGGAACACACTATAAAATGAATCAAAATATGGCCAAAATACTACACACTTATGTTAGTTAGTTAAAAGTGTAGTAAAGCGGTAGACCTTTAAAGCCTGTTTAAAATATGCAAGGGGTGGGGCTTTTCTGATGTCCCAGTGGAATCACATTATGCAATAGTGGATTCCACTGTTGAAAATGCCTTCATCTGTGTGTTTGCCTTATTTTAGGGTTCAACTGTATCAATACCTGTCTATGTCTGTTAAGAAGCAGACCCCATTGAGTTCAACAGAGCTCAATCCTTCTTTACTGGGTATAGAATTGCCACTTTCTTGTTTTGATCTTATTTATATGTTGAGATAAAATGTCACAAAAAGTGTTCAGTCTGATTTGTCATCTGGTGCAGTATTATTTATGTTAGGGTTGCCATACGTCCGGAATTTTCTGGACATAGCTAGTATTCGGTCCTCGTAAACAGCGCCTGGGCGGAAATCGTTTGAATGTCTGGGGAAATCCGAACATATGGCAACCCATGCCGGAAGTGTCGATTTTGTTGAATTTCATTATAAATTGCTCCCCAAAAAATCACTTTTTCTTCCGAGATTTTGCAAAGCTCAACAACTTTGCTCAAAAAAGCTCAACAACTATTGTGTCCGGAATTTCATTTTTTGAAATATGGCAACCCTAATTTATGTGGTGGCTCATTCATATAAGCAAGTCATGATGACTTCTGTCATCAAGTGATGGCCATTCATGTATGAATTCCTTTACCTACAGTGGTTTCAGGAACTTGAGGCATGCCTGCTGGTGTTTGTTCTTTCACTAGAGTGTTCTGAGACATCTGACTCAAAACATGCCAATTGTTCTCACTGTCACTGCAAGGATGCTATGTGAGCATCTGGTCTGCAGACAGAATACAGCTATGCTTGTCAAATATGTAAAATGATTGCTATGTAGGTTGAAGCAGATGCCTTCTTTTGAAAAGTGCTTTAGTTTTGATACGTTTGGGTAACAAATTATTTTTGCTTATTACCCAGCATCGAGCATTTTGCCAAGCTGTATAGCCAGAAGATTGGAATCAAAGCTTCAGTACTGCTGAAAACCCTGTGGGGAGATTATTATCTAAATACAAAAGCTAAGAAGATAATGAAAACTGACCAGGTGAGTTCACTGGTGTATAACTTGCTTTTAATTTTCTTTTTTCCCTACCAGAAAAGTTACTTGCCAGCAACTGAGTATGCAGTATTGCCACTTTCCTGGGATTCTGAACAATTTTGTTTTTAATCTTTACCACCCCGGTCAAGCAAATATGTAGTATATTGCAGCTGCTATGATGATTCTCAATATACCTCACCAATGTACATTTACAACCTTGGATCTCTGCCACTTCATTCTACGGCATCTGTAGACTAGACCTTAGATTCTGTTACCAATGCTTATATCTTATTTATGCAAATCTAAGATTCAATCCATAGGGACGTGGGTGGTGCTGTGGTCTAAACCACAGAGCCTAGGGCTTGCCGATCAGAAGGTTGGCGGTTTGAAACCCTGCGGCGGGGTGAGCTCTCATTGTTCAGTCCCAGCTCCTGCCCACCTAGCAGTTCGAAAGCACACCAGTGCAAGTAGATAAATAGGTACTGCTCTGGCAGGAAGGTAAACGGTGCTTCCGTGTGCTGCTCTGGATCGCCAGCAGCGGCTTAGTCATGCTGGCCACATGACCTGGAAGCTGTCTGCGGACAAACACTGGCTCCCTCTGCCTATAGAGCGAGATGCGCAGGCAACCCCAGAGTCATCTGCAACTGGACCTAACGTTTAGGGGTACCTTTACCTTTTTAAGATTCAGTTCAGTTCACTGTGATTACATAATCTGTGTGTGGAAGGTAGAAAATGCGTTCCTTGGATGAACAAGCCTCCCATTCGCTGGAACTGTTTGATGCAATGCCTTGCACATGCACTCAGGGCAGTGGCGGGTGTAGTTACCACTGCAATAGGTGATTGGAATGATCACAGCTGACAAACGATTGGACAGAGACGTGGGTGCAAATCCTTGCATGCTGCTGTACTTGAAGATTTTTCAGTTCAGGGATGAAAGAACAGATTGGTAGATTGCTCTTGTTGCAACTGAACCGCGGTAGATGATAGGTTGGAGAAGCAACATTCAAATAACAATAATTGATAATCTGGAATATTGCAAGCATGATACTGCTATGAGGGGTCTTTTTTTGGTGGGGGGTAAGCTATATGGTTGAGTCCCTCTTCTAATGGAATCCAACACGGATTCCATTGCTGGAATACCCAGGCCAGCCTGGTAAAAGGTAAAGGTACCCCTGCCCGTACGGGCCAGTCTTGACAGACTCTAGGGTTGTGCGCTCATCTCACTCTAGAGGCCGGGAGCCAGCGCTGTCCGCAGACACTTCCGGGTCACGTGGCCAGCATGACGAAGCTGCTCTGGCGAGCCAGAGCTGCACACGGAAGCGCCGTTTACCTTCTCGCCAGTAAGCGGTCCCTATTTATCTACTTGCACCCGGGGGTGCTTTTGAACTGCTAGGTTGGCAGGCGCTGGGACCAAGCAACGGGAGCGCACCCCGCCGCGGGGATTCGAACCGCCGACCATGCTATCGGCAAGCCCTAGGCTCTGTGGTTTAACCCACAGCACCACCCGCGTCCCTCCCCTGCTAAATATGGGTTGTTAAAGTAACAAAGGGAGTGGCTCTAACTAAATGTCTGTTAGTTAGACCTTATAGTGAATCCTGAACCTATGGGTCCACATGTGGGTGTTACCCCTGTAATTGTCTGAATTGAACTCCCCACTGTGTTATAAAGGGCATCCTAAGTTTGTCTTACCGCTTTCTTCCAGTTGAAAGGAAAGAAGCCTTTGTTTGTGCATCTGGTGCTGGAAAACATATGGAGCCTCTATGAAGCAGTTACAAACAGGTAAACAAAAAGCATCCCCGAGTCTCATTTTCTTGATGGCAGAGGTGGGGAATGCCAATTCAGAATTTCACTTTTCACAGGCAGGGGATCTGTTGTTTATGCTAAATGCCCTTCTTGCTCAACTGCATTATCGGGTCATTTCTAAGTGAAGGAAGGTGAGCTTCTACGTGACAACAGAAACAGGCTGGTTTGCCCAAAGGCCTTCTTTGTGGTTTTTGTTTTTAAGATGATCAGATGTAGTGCTGTAATTGCATGGTGTATGCTTTCTTTGTAGAGACAAGGAGAAAATTGATAAAATCGTCTCCTCCCTGGGATTGAAAATTGGTGCCCGTGAAATGCGCCACACAGATCCGAAGGTTCAGCTTAATGCCATTTGCAGCCAGTGGCTCCCAATATCGGAGGCCGTTCTCTGTATCCTTATGGAAATAGCTTTTTTACCATTTACTTAAAAGCTTCTAGCCTCAGCGCCTAGGGCTTGCCGATCGAAAGGTCGGCGGTTCGAATCCCCGCAGCGGGGTGCGCTCCCGTTGTTCGGTCCCAGCGCCTGCCAACCTAGCAGTTCGAAAGCACTCCCGGGTGCAAGTAGATAAATAGGGACCGCTTACTAGCGGGAAGGTAAACGGCGTTTCCGTGTGCGGCTCTGGCTCGCCGGAGCAGCTTTGTCACGCTGGCCACGTGACCCGGAAGTGTCTGCGGACAGCGCTGGCCCCCGGCCTCTTGAGTGAGATGGGCGCACAACCCTAGAGTCTGTCAAAACTGGCCCGTACGGGCAGGGGTACCTTTACCTTTACCTTAAAAGCTTCTACTGTCTCATGCACTAGAGTTTAGTCCACCAGTTTGTGTGAGGGAGGTGGGGTTTGGAGAACTGAATACAGGCAACATCCTGTGTTCCTTATACTGAGTCAAATCATTGGTCCATCTAGCTCAGTATTGCTTATATTGACTGGGTTTCAGACAGGGGACATTGCCAACCCTATCTGGAGATGTTGGGGGGTGACTGGGAACCTTCTGTATGCAAAGCAGAGGCTATGAGTTACGGCCCTTCCCCTAGTATTGTCCATCAGCCCCAGTAGCTTCCTGCCTGCTTCAGTCATCTCATAGTCAACTTGCAGTGTGACGGGAGTTGAGCTTACAATCAAGAGCGCCCAACCACTGCCAGAGAGACTTGAGTTGCTCTTCTCTTCCTACTTCCCATGCTTCCTAGTGCCTCCAAGGATCCATCCCCTCGAATGCTTTAGATACAGTTCATATTTGCGTCATCAGGCAAGCCTTGGCTTTGGGCAAATCACTGTCCAAGGTCTGTATTTTGATTTTACTGGATACTAGCCTATAGTTTCTGCACAGCCTCCTTTCTGTATCCTCCTTTCTAAACGTGTATATCCTTAGCACCGTGCTTTAAGCCATGGTCTGTAATAAACTCCCTAGTCCTCTTGATATCACAGCTGAGAGAGTAGAAAAACTGTTGTGCGTGGGAGCGAAAACATTTGATTCTCTACCGCAAGAAACTCAAGACCTGAAAGACGGTAAGTAAATTTTGGCAAATTGCGACTTAAGTCCTGTTCAGATGAGTCTCGTTTTTAAAAAGTCCATAAACCCTGGTGTCTCCTAATTGAAAAACTAAATGTCCTAAAAGATGTTTTGGTTTTCAGTCTGGGCAGAATTCAGCTTTCTGCATCCATGCTGCAAGTTGGCTCAGAAGCGCAGGCTGAAATCTCATACAATTTTCCCTCCTTGATTCACTCACTAATTTGTTAGTTTAACAAATAAAATATAAAGCCAGAGACTTTCTCATCAGACCATGGGAAAACATGTAACTCTCTCGTTTTATGTTTGCTTAGCGTTTATGAAATGCAGCAGTGAAGAAACTGCCCCAGTCATTGTCTTTGTTTCCAAAATGTTTGCAGTGGATGCTAAGACATTGCCACAGAACAAGCCAAGGTGAGAAAAATGATGCCATTGGATCTCCTCCTGCTCAATGGCATTAGACGCTAATTCACAGTATACAAGTCTAGATTGCTTCTGATCTGCGCCTGGTAAAATTATTTGCCCTTATCTGAAACTATGTCAGCTGTTTTCAAGAAAGTGTTGGTAAATGCAGACTAGTTCAATGTTTTATTTGTGGTTTAAAGAATAAATGCTTTGTCAAAGAGTTAACAGTTACTGTCAACATACGGACATTGTATCTAAGCGAATTACAAACTTAAATTGGTATCTCTATATCTTGCTCAAATGATACAAGTTAATTTTAACTTGTTTTTGTTTTATGTGGAGAAGCTATGGATTCTTCCAGGTGCTTTTGTAAGCTTTTTGACCACTTTCTGTTTCCATGTAAACTTCAGAAGTTGTTCCTCTCTTTTACTCCTTCACCTTCATATCTCTCCTAGATAGAAAGCAATGATTGCAATAAAACATCCTGCATGCAAGTAAATACAGAATCTCCTCGTGCAATCGTTAAATAGTATGTGAATGCAGGATTTTCCAGTGTAATTGTTGCTTTCTGCACAGGAGGAGCCTCTTGAACTCAGTTGGGTAAAGAAGTGATGACAGTGGAAAAACTGCAAAGGAAGGAGGGATGGGAGGGAGGCTTTGTACCTGCAGTAAAAGGCCACAACTTGATGTCTCTGCATGCCTCATCTTCCAAACACGGCTTGCTGTAAACATTGGTTAGATAAGCTTGGACCGTTCCACCAGTGAGCACTCCAGATTGCTACTTGTGCCATTGGGGCTCTGAAAGTGACTGTATCCAGTTAGATGGGGCTCCGTGGTCAGTATTAGGAACTCCTATGGGCTTGAGTATTATTATTATTTTGCACCCTAATTTAAGAGACACAATAATTTTTGGCTTGAAGCAGCACTGGGTATTTAGACCACTAGATGGTGGTATTCAGCTGTCTGTAAGTGGACTTCAATTTTTATAGCGACAGGCATGGATTTTGCTTCTACTTCTGCAAATCGGCAGCAGGAGTTTATGAATAAGAGTGAAATTAGGTTGAATCAGTTGCTTCTTCCTGGGTTCATGATCTTGAGGTGGCAAGCAGTGGGGGTGGATTACAGCACTAAAAAGTATTTTAAATGCCTTGATGGTTCTATGTTTATGTAGTTTTAATTCTTTCTGTGGAAGATGAAGTGTTGTCGAGACACAGGATCATTTCATGTGTATGTTTGAATGTACTGTCTCTCTGTGTGTGTTCAAATATTTTCAACCCAATGCCTGCTGAAATAAAAGTTCTTTGCAGCAGATACAGATAATTGACAGAGATGGACTCCTCATATTATTAAAGTGCTTTGTTCCAAAGGCTTGGGAGCCACTGGAGTAAATACCCTGTTTCTTGTTGTCACCCTTCTAAAATGACACAGTGAAGGCATAGGGCACAAAACTTGATTGCAACTGGTATGTGAGCCTGGATAGCTCAGTTGGTTAGAGTGTGATGCTGATAATGCCAAGGTTGCAGGTTTGATCCCCGTATGGGACAAATGCATATTCCTGCTTTGCAGGGGGTTGGACTAGATGATCCTCAGGGTACCTTTCAATTCTACAATTCTATGATTTTTTAAAAATTGGGTTTTTTATGTTAAAAAGCAAACAGATTAATGCATCTATTGTCTCCACTTTCAGTTCATAGTCTTTTTCACAATTCATTTACGTTTGGTGAGAGACATTTTTGCCATAGACATCTTGCAGTTGGGGCAAAGGGGAGAGGGACGGGGAAATTATTCTTTCATTCTATTGTCTATTCTTAGTGTGGGCGGGTTGTGTCAGCATTACATGGGTAGGTCTTTTGTTTGTTTATTTAATTATTTTTATTGATATTGCGAGAGTTTAGGGGTTTCTGAGCTTGGTTGGTTGTGTTTAGTTTTTTTGTGGTGTGGCTTATTTGTGTGAGGGAGGCGGGCTAGGTTGTTGGGTCAGCTTAGCTGTATTGATTCATATCTTCTTAAAGGGGACAGGTCAGTGTCCTGTGTGTGTAATAAAGGGGAACCACACTGAGGTGAAGACATCCTCCATAGCTTGTCCCCGTGCTGGTTTGAGTTTGTTGATTAACTTTTCTAGTATGGCGGTTTCCCATACATTTTGGTACCTGTGGTCTATGTTCATTCCTGATAGGTCCTTCCAGTGTCTAGTTATGATATTTCTAGCTGTTGAAAGTAAGTGACTTATGAGTTCCTTGTAGTGTGTGTTGTTGTCCCGGAAGATATTAAATAGGGCATGTTGTGGAGTTGCTTCTGTTACCTGTTTTGTTATTTTGGGAATTTCCAGCAGCACTAATATCCGGAAGGGTTGGACTTTGGGGCATTCCCACCAAATGTGGCGGTATGTGCCTATTGCAGTGCGACCTCTCCAGCATTTTACAATTCTTTGATTCTATGTGGACAGAGAATGTAGAGAGGTAGCTGGTATGCAAGTCTCAAGTTATGACTTGGTGAGCTTTCATTGGTGTTAAGCTAAGAATCCCATATTCACTCACATAATATTCACTTCCTTCACTTTCAGGCCCAAACTGATTTGCCTGGCACTTGGAAGATTCATTAGGTAGATCACTTTAGTAGATAGCCATGACGATTGTCACTTGGCATCCGTAAGCAGGGGTTGGGAGCCTGTGGACCTCCAGATATTGTTGGACTCCAGCTTCCATCAGCCCAAGCCAGCATGGCAGATGGTCAGAGTGATGGGAGTTGTAGTCCTATAGCATCCAGAGGGCCACAGATTAGCCACCCTTGATTTAAGTGGGATTTACATCCTTAAATGTGGAGGGCTTTTCACAGAGAGTAGCTGGATTGTTACATCCTGTGAACTGTTAATAATCCAGGTAGTAAAAAGAAAGTTTTTAGAAGTATACTTAATATGGTATTTTTAGTCTTACTTTATATGTATACTGTGATTCCTTTCCCTTTTTTTGCACTGTGTATCAAGTCACATTTTTTAAACCAGCTACAGCTGCCTAAATTGGTTTTATTTTAATAACAGCTTGATTCCCCTCCACAAACCTCCAAGTTTCTTCTCCTACCCCATCTGCTTAATTTCATTGGGTGGCTTAAGCACGTGTCTAATTCTCTCATCAGCTGAAATTAGTGGGATTCCAAGTGCTTACCTTTGGCAAGATCATGCTCATAGTTGGCACTAAATGGTCTTTTAATGATCGGGGGTAATTGTTCTTGGCTGTCTTTAAAAGTTATCTGCTTGCTAAGACACGGATGCAGGAGGCAGAGGCGCTTTGAGTTGGCTTTGTCTGGCAGTAGTACTGCATAGATAACTTTTTCCTGCAACTCCAAAGAGCTTGGGCAATTCAAATGCTCTCTTTTCCCCCTTTTATGCCAGGAACTTCTCAGCATGGCATTGCCACATGCTCTTTGAATGCCTCCTCAGTGAAGCTTTTGGCTTAACCCTTTAGCCTTCAACCTCTGAATCACATTTCTGCATACCTGTCCTCCTTTTGTATTTCCCTCCCCTTCCACTCACCCCCCCCCCGTCTTCCTTACTGTCTAAAATAAGATCATAAGCTTTTTGCTGTTAGGACCTGCTTTTTTTAAGAGCAGGCAGCTGGATCAGACTAAAGGTCCATCCATCTGGCCCAGACTCCATCTTCCCCACAGCAGCCGACCATATGCCCTGTGGAAGCTCACAAGCGGGCCATGAAAGCAATAAGCCCTCTCCTGTTACTGTTGCTCTTTGGAGACAGTGGCGCACTACCTCTCAACAGTGAGAGTGCTTAAGAATCATAGAATCATAGAGTTGGAAGGGACCCCGAGGGTCTCTAGTCCATGGCAGATGGCCTTCCAAACTGTGCTTTAAAATCTCTTATGTCGTGGATGCTTTAGTTGAGATTCCTGCATCGCAGGGGGTAGTTCCTACTGTCCGAAGTGCAATAGGTCTATAGGCTTCATGGATGGTGGTAGTGTCTGTCTGTCTGTCTGTCTGACTGACTGTCCCCCCCCCCTTCTCCCCCTACCCCTCCATTACACTTTTGGCACTCAATGCCCATCACTCCTGCCTGGTTTGAAGGAGGGAAAGTCAAGAGACGGCTCCTAAAACGGTCCTTTGCTCTAGCAGAGACAAATAGATGAGCTTCTTGACAGGCGCTGCTGGAAATGGTTTTTATAGTTCTCTGCTCTTTTCTTTGTGGTGTTTTATGGCTGGCTTTATTGTGACACAAAAAGCAATCTCGTAAGCCACTCGAGGAGGTTTGGCTGGAGAGCTGGGTACAAATCCTAAAAACAAGTAAATAGAATTATTCTGAAGATTTCACAACAGGTTTTTCTCCCCCTCTCTTTCTCTCCTTCGTCTGCCTAAATCCTACTTCTTCAAGCAGAACTTGCCACGAAATTGTTGCTTCCCTGTTCAGTTCTGCATGTTCTTGCTTCCTTTTGTTTTTCAGCTAGCAGCTTATTTACATGTCTTCAACTCAAAGGCTTGTGTGTGTGTGTTTCATCCCTTAACTCGCTTGTTTTTACAATCTCCTATTCCCCGAAGGATGTTTTCTAAAGTGATCTGTAAGCTACACAGCCTCTGTGTCAAGTAACAACTTTCCAAATTGTGTCATCAAATGAATGCAATTTTTTTTTATAGCTCCCAAAGATCTCTGTGCGATCTTCTGAATAAATACCGACATGAATTTGCATCAAAGGGCGCTGTGCATTGTAGTGCAGCCGAGTCCCTTGGCTGTGAATTGTACTTCATTGGTGGTTTAAGTTGACCCTGAGCAGCTCCATCTATTATGGAGCAAGGACAATGTTCAGCAGCACATCCTGTCAGAACTGCAGGGCAGTATTTGTGGATAGCACCTACTTATGAAATTAACAAAGTAAAGTGGGGTCTCTGAAGAGGAAGGGAACCATTTATTGCGGCTGCTTTGAAGTGCAGCCTTTGTTTGCAGGGAAGATAAATCTACACATGGATCCAACCAACACATGTGGAATCAATTTTAAACCGGAGTTAGTCTTTGAATAGTCCAGTGGCTACTAAACAATTGAAAAGGAAGTGTCCCTGAGCCACTTTTAATTTTTACCCTTATATAAGTAAAAGCTATTTTCTTCACAGGCTAATCGTAGTTAAAACTGAAGCATGCCCTTTCTTTTTTTTTTAATTTAGAATTCCAATAAGTTATTATAAAGCAATTAAACTAATGACTGATGCTGTATAATAATAACAGCTCGTCATTGGCATGATATCCAGGTAGTTGATTTTTAGCCTCCTACTGCATAAATTTCCTGCCAGCAGCTGGCCAGAATATCTGACTTGCATTTTTAAAAATTACTCATCCTTTAATGTGTGGCAAATGGAAAGGCTACTTCCTTTTTTCTTTATTCCGCTGCACTAGAGAAACCCCAACAGCAGCCAGGAAAACTTCTATGATGATGTCACTATGCTAAGGATATAAGATATAATCCCAACTGGGTGGTAGTGGAAGCTCCCTTTAATGAGATGCCATACTCCTCCAATTGAGGATGTGATGAATTTGTTGAAATGCCACCAGCATAAGCCGAGGCAATTGTCTTCCTTGATTGCTCCGATTTATATTGTTTTACAAGGCTGTCAGGATACTTTCTGAACTGTTCTTGAGAAACTGCAAAGGTGGCACCTGCTGTCCGGAAAAGCTTTTCCAAAAAAAATAATAATAATGTTCTTTCAAATGATACATAGGCCTCTGTCACAAGATGAAATAGCCCAAAGGCGTGATTTTGTAAGGCGACGACATGCTGAGAAGTTAGCAGCAAATCAGGAGCAGCAGTTGGCACAAGAGACGAATGGAGGAAATACAGCGGACCAAGTTCTAAAGACAGGTAAGATGAAACGCTTGCCAGGGAAGAAGATTCGGTGGATGTGTTTGATTCATGATTGGTGATGAAATGCTGTTGCTTTTGTCATTTTAAATAAAGCAGGGCAGATCATCCTATGGGCGAGATCCAGTCCACCAAACCTTTGCCTCTAGCCTTCCCAGCCTGATTTGGGGCGAAGAGTACAGAACACCCATGGATTTTCATCCCAGTAGTGGCATTAGGCTGGGTAGAGAAGATCCATATCACTCCTGACCCCTGCTCACCAGATGAATGAGCAGAGGAAAGGCACTTGGATTCAAATATGCTGCCATTTTTATCCAGTTGATTGGATATTGGCATAAGTTGGGTTTGTTGCATTAATGGCTGCATGTTACCGTAAGCAGTCTTGAGTGCAAGATGAAGCAGAATAGAAATAGAGAAATGAATGTTTGCACCTCAACCCTTCCTTAGGCGATGATCAACCACCTACAAGTCAAATGGAGACGATGACCCTGGCTGCTGCAAAACGGGAAGCCGAAAATAAGGACGCCTTTGTGGCTTTTGCAAGGGTGTTCAGTGGAGTTGTGAGAAGGGGACAAAAGCTCTTCGTTCTTGGACCAAAATATGATCCTGCTGAGTCGTTGCACAAGGTAAGCCCCTTTTCCTTATCTCACAAAGTGTGCTTTTGAAAAGTTCAATCTCCTACCCCACCCAGAGATGGACAACTTTTGGCACTTGGGGTGGTGGCTGGAAACAGATCTGGCCCTGTTCCTTCAGCTGCTGATCACACTCAAAGGTTTTTTGCACGCATGGCATCCCAACTTCTGTCTCATTTGGCTCTCATTTGGGTCTGTTTGGAGCAAACATCAACCCTACCAGCTACACTTTCCTTTTGTCTTGGGCATTAGCAGGAAAGTTTCCTATAATTTAGCTTGGCATTGCCTGTTCGGGGAAATAATAATAATTGGGGGATTTGTGGTATTCCATTTTCTTTACTTCTGAGAACCTTGTAATCAAGCTTTCCCTTGCAGCTTAGAATGTAAAGGAGGAAAGTGCTCTTGTTTATTCTTAATGCTGCCTTTTTGCTTTTTTCAGAAAAATGTGTCGAGAACTTTTTTTCTAGAACAGTATCCATTACTGAGTGGCTCTTTTCTCTCCCCTTCCCCATGTTTTATTTCCTTATTTATGTGGGAATTGTATACGCTTAATAGTAAAAACCTCCAAGTGGTGTACATACAATAAAATACACATGAGAATTATTGCTGAAATTCAGAGTTGGAAGACGAGTCAGCCCTAGCTAATCAAGATATAAATCAAATCAGCAGTTAAAGAACGTACATTATAAAATTAAATTACATACATTTCAATTTGGCCACAGCTTCCTGTAGGATGTTCTGCTTCTGATAACCTGCCTTCAGTGCCTCATTTGACTTGCTGCACTTTAGAAGATCTCTACCTATTGATGGGGAGAGGACTTGAGGAACTACACGAGGTGCCTTCAGGGAACGTGCTGGGTGAGCATACTTTTAATTGTTTTCATTTTGTCCTCCAGTGCTATCATATATAAAAGATGCATTTCTTGAAACGTGATTGCCATTGCGCCAGTGATGGGCAACATCCTTATTTCTGTAGGCTGATTTGAAAATACTTTTATTTATTAAATTCCTGTACCTCACCCCCCCCTTTAGAGATGCGGGTGGCGCTGTGGTCTAAACCACAGAGCCTTGGGCTTGCCGATCAGAAGATTGGCAGTTCGAATCTCCGCAACCGGGTGAGTTCCCGTTGTTCAGTCGCAGCTCCTGCCAACTAAGCAGTTCGAAAGCATGTCAAGTGCAAGTAGATAAATAGAAGGCAGGAAGGTAAACGGTGTTTCCGTGTGCTGCTCTGGTTCGCCAGAAGCAGATTAGCCATGCTGGCCACATGACCCAGAAGCTGTACGCCGGCTCCCTCGGCCAATAAAGTGAGATGAGCACTGCAACCCCAGAGCTGGCCATGACTGGATCCTGATCAGGGGTCCCTTTACCTTTACCCACCCTTTGGTCAGAAGAGCTCCCCATAGTATAGTTTACAGAGACTCAAAAATAATAAAATCCATCTAGTTAAAAGATGACATAAAGGAAATGACAATATGAAGTAAGAACCAGCAGTTTGATGCCAATATTAGCAAAGGACACCAGTAATTGGAATAGAATGAGACGGGACTCCATGGGTCGTCGGATCGTGTGATGCTGCCTTTCTTGCCCCTGTCATGATCACACCATTGGATCATCCAGGCCCAGCTTTCTCCAAGCTGCTGCCCTCCAGATACTTAAGCTCTCATCATCCTTGATGGTTGGTCATGTTGGTGTCCAACAACATATTCTTGGGTAACGCTTATTCTGTTTCACTGACTGCCATCAGTTATTGGATGTGGGATCTTTGCCTTGCAAATCTTGTGCTTTACCTCTGAGCAAGGCATGCAGAAAACCCCATGTTTAGCACCTGTCCATTTAAAAGGATCTTTAGCAGCTGGGCTGGGACTCCTGAGGAGAACCAATGCTAGCCAGAAATGACAGTGCTGAACTAGATGGACCAGTTGTTTGGCTCCATATAAGGCAACTTTGTATGGCTGTTCTCCTTAGTCTGAGTCTTTCTCAAAGCAAGAATACACCCAGACCTGTTCTTCTGAACCTTTGAACTCAGAAAAGTGGATAGGAATGATTTTCTATCATTCGTATGTATAAAGAGGGAATAATAGTTTTGTCTTGGTAACTTTGTCAATTGCTCAGCTATTTGACTCTTCAGTATCCTGTGATGTGTGTGTTTTCATTTTTGCACCGTGAACAACACCCAGTGCCTGAGAAGTTCTGTATAGTCATTAACCACAGAGGAATTGGAGAGTTTTCTAAATTTGGTTAGATTTTAGCACATGCACTGGTGGTGACATTCAAGTAGATATCAGTTCTTAACATATTTAAAATATGCCATTTTTTTGTGACCAACATTAATATTACATATTTCCAGAAATAGATATTTATCTCCTAAAAGATGTGGGAAACTAAATTTCCCCTCCAAATCTTTGTTTACCATGGAAACTTAAAATCCCTTCCAGATGTCTTTCCCTAACTCATTTGATTTTAAAATGCTGCCTCAGAAGCCATGTGATATTCATTTCTTTTCATCAATGTTGGTAAAATGACAAATATCGGCAGAGCTCTGTTTTATCAAAACTGGTTTTGATTAAGCATTTTGGGATAACTTTTCTTGCCTTTTTAAATAAATTTCCTGTGTCCTGATTTCTTGTATGTTTAGTTTCCATGATGGCTTAGATCTGTAACTTAGTTTTGTAAAACCTGATAAATGACAGATTCTTCATACTTGATTCTCCAAAATGCCAAGTTTTTAAAGGCTGAGCCTTAATTTTACATTGCATGCCTGCACATGTTTACCTTGCCGTACTGAATGCAATTGGACTTGCTCCCAGTGAGTGTGTGTAAGACTGCAGGTTTAGTTGCTTTAAAAGAGGTTGCTAGCACCACACCATGGAAGCTCTCAAAAATATACATCATCCGAATATAAACATCACTGGCTTAGGTGTAATTAACCCCCGATTTATCTTACAGTTGGTATGATTTTTATTGAGAGCTTTGTGGTAAGATGAATTTGATACACACACACACACACACACACACACACAAACACACACGCTAGAAGGTTGCTTAGGGGCCTACGGTACTTGAAGCCTGTATCTGTTCTGAGTCCTGTTGTGATCAATGTCTGAAATTGTTCAACCAGCAAAGTGAGGAAGAAACTACTGTACCACTTCATATTGCAGGTGGGAAATCACATTTTTTGAATGCTTCCCTATGTAAAAAGCATCAGGGAGAAGAGGGTGGGTTAAATTTTGTGTGTTTTGCATAGGGAAGAGGAGGTATCTCCTGTCTGCAGTTGTCAGTGTTACAGTTCAAAATTCTAACATCTCAATCTTCCACATCTCTAGACTAGACTTGAAAGGTGCCAGTTTCAGCTTCAAAGACGCAGTGTTTTTCATTGGATAGAAAGAGTTTTTAAAAATACACTCCTGCAAAATATCATACCTATAGCTAACACCTTATTCAGTAATGCCCCTGACAGATGTAATTTTTGTACAGCAGCTAGCATTTTAAATGTTGGTAAATAATTTTCAGTAATTGCCAGGGGATTTTATTGCATCTTTTGTTCTGATAAATTTGCCACAAGCCTCAAGTAAAGCAGAAGTTGCTAGGGTGGTAAGAGGCAGGGGACCCTATTTGTACTAAGCTGAGATTCTTTGAAAGCAAAACTAAACTCAGCAGACTTCTTTTTGGGCGGGCAGCGGAGGGCAGCATGCGAACCCAGTGCTTTGCTTGGTCTTGTGAGCTAAGCCATGCTTTAGCACTGTGCACAAACATGCCCAGAGAGGTGAAGAAAACACTTAAATGTGGTTGTGTAGAAGCAATTCCTAGGGCTGGCTCTTTTGTGCAAAAATTGTTGCTGATTTGCAGCAGCCACAGTTGTGGATGGGCTAATTCACACATCACAATCTCCACCTAAGTGCAAAAGTAACTGTAGATGGCTTTGGGCGCCACACCTGATGCTTGTCTTTTTAAATTTTGTGAACCAGCTCCAAGGCTCTGTGGTTTGATAGGTTCAGCTTTTAACACAATTTAATTCCTTAAAGAAAGAAAGAAACTAGGCCTTTGGAACAAACAAATGCCATGCAGTTGGCAATTTGGTTCAGGGAGAGATGCCAAACATCTTTGCCCGAGGTGCATGTGTATATTAAATAGTCTTCTAAATGTAAACCATCTGTAAGTGGTGATTTTTTCTCTCCAAGAGGAATTAAAAGCCAACCAGTGAACTTTGGGAAGCTTACTGCTGATCTGGTATCAGATTTTGAATAGAAACATTTGTTTTTCATTGTGTTTTAATATTATTTGGGTTTTGTATTCTATGGGTTATAAGGGATCCAAAGCAGTTTCGAATTTTAATTTCTTTCTCATAAGGTATGTTGTAACCTTTGAGTGGTGTATTTGTATAGAAAGCCTGCATCTCCTTCCTCCGTCTGCCAAACGATATTCTCTTTTTCTTATACACAGATTTCACAATCAACCGTATAAAGCATCTTTTGCCAACCTGGCGCCCTTCAGATTTGGTCAATTACAGCTCCCCTTAGTCCCAGCCAGCAGTGCAGCGATGATGTCTAGGGCTGATGGGAATTTAGTGCACAGAATCTGTAGGGCCCCAGGTTGTTGGCAAGGGCTGCAGTAGGGTGTGACAACCTTGGGAACTGACTTTATCTATTTAAAACACAAAATGCTAGACTTTATACTCGTGGAAAAGAAGCTTGAAAATGTGCAGATGCCCATTGAAGTGTTCCTTAGAGCTCCCATTAATGAGGGATGGCTCCATATATATTCATTTTTCACATACATATCTGCCTTGTACAGCTCTGCTACCCCTGCCCTGCTGCATCCCTGCTCCATTACTTGCCTCCTCCTTTGCCCTTTCCCACCAGCCATTGCCAAAACACTAATGTCCTCGAACTTTTTCCTCCCAATGTTGCAATTGGAATAAATCATACCGTTTTAGCATAATCCAGCAAAAATTGGCACGATGCTTTCATCAAGATATGGCATAGGGATGATGGAATGTTTTTGGAACATGAAACTATTGCGGTGATTTGGCCAAAAATGTCTGCCTCCTTTATCAGGGTCTATCTTGTCACATTCTCTGTGAACTGCAAAATTATAAATTTTGCTCCATATCAGTGGGAAACTGTGCCGTCGTGATTTGCAGCATATTCTGGTTACACTCTTTTTAGAGATCTGCCACTCTTGGAGAAATTTTATATTTTAAAAAACCGTTTTATGGGTCAGAATGTTGTTGATGTGCTTTGATGTGGGTCATTGCCAAAGAGAGTCTTCTCCCTGAAACTAATTGGGCTCTATCTGGTACATATTTGGGGGTTATTTATTTTAGAAAAGTCTATATTTCCAGGAGTAGAAACAACTCCTGGTCATTTACATAAAGGGATGCATACATAACTTGAGTTTGGGCATGCTTCTGGACTCAACCCTGACCACAGATGCCCAGGTTTCTGCGGTGGCCAGAATTGCATTTGCACAGTTGAAACTAGTGCACCAGCTACACCTGTTCCCTGAGATTTCTGATTTGACCACAGTGACACATGCCTTAGTTGCATCCCAGTTGGACTACTGCCACACGCTCTATGTGGGGATGGCTTTGAAAGGTGCTCAGAAACTTCAACTGGCTCAAGGAGCTGCAGCCAGATTGTTGGTCAGGGCTGGTTACGGGGAGCATAAGGACTCCCTTGCTGCAACAACTCCACACACAATTCAAAGTGCTGGTTATGACCTAGAAAGCCCTGCGTGGCTTAGGTCCAAGCTATCCAAGAGACCTTTTAAAAATGTATTTATAGTGGTACCTCGGGTTACAGATGCTTCAGGTTACAGACGCTTCAGGTTACAGACTCCGCTAACCCAGAAATAGTACC